CAGCTGGTCTTAATAACCAGCTTAATAACAGGGTGCCTTAGACCACTGTACTACCAAGGCTCTTGTTCTTGTCTGTTTTGGCAAAAAAAATATAATCTTGTTTTTGAATTCAACTTTGATAAACCTTGATTAAGCTGGGTAAGTGTCCGATCTGATCATAATCAATATGATTCATGCCTATTTGAAGCATTAGTCCAATTCAGGGGTGAAATCCAGCAGGTACTGACAAGTTTTGGAGAACCAGTAGCAGAAATTTTGAGCAGTTCAGAGAATCGGCAAATACCACCTCTGGCTGGCCCCAGAGTGGGGTGGGAATGGGGATTTTGCAGTATCCTTCCCCTGCCACGCCCACCAAGCCACAACACGCCCACCAAGCCACGCCCACAGAACCAGTGGTAAAAAAAAATTTGGATTTCACCACTGGTCCAATTGGCCCGGTTCACATCCCCTCCATTAGACCAGGCAAGAAAATGGATTGGTCAGGTCAACGTTTGGTCTGCAGATATGTGTTAACGACGTCTATGGATTCTTCTCTTCCCAACCTTAGAGAAATCTATATACCAAAAGGGCAATCAAGGCGACGCTAACAATAACATAACAGGCCAATAAAGCGTTCCTCAAAAAACCCGACAACCTCTGGCCTCAGCCTTGGCAGGAAGCCTAACTGAACATTAATAATAATAATAATAATAATAATAATAATAATAATAATAATAATAATTAATAATAATAATAATAATAATAATAATAATAGTACCGATTATATTTACCAAGAGCAGAGGGTGGTCGAGGACTCCTACAAGTAAAGCAGACTGTGGAAGAAGAAAAATGCAGCTTGAATGATTACATCCATAAAAGTGAAGAACCAATGATTAAGGAAGTAAATAAAGGAGGCCTTTTAAAGACAACTAAAACAAAAGCAGAATATAAGAAAGAAGTAACTGAGCAGCGAATTGAAAATTGGAAACACAAAGCTCTGCATGGCCAATACTTTAAAAGTATTGAAGGCAAAGCTGACCAGAAACTAACTTGGAACTGGATAAGATCAGGAGTACTGAAAAAAGAAACCGAAAGCTTTATTTTGGCAGCTCAAGAACAAGCCCTAGCCACAAACAGTATGAAGGCAAAAATTCAACATGTTACCACCAACAGCAAATGCCGCCTCTGCAATGAAAAAGAAGAGACAGTCGACCACCCGATCAGTGGGTGCAGCAAAATTTCACAAACTGACTACCTACAAGGCCATGACCGTGTTGGTAAGATCATCCACTGGAAATTGTGCCAGAAGTTTGGATTTGAGTACAGCAAAAACCACTGGGAACATCAGGTTGAGAAAGTTTTAGAGAATGAGAAACTCAAGATCTTGTGGGACTTCAGGATTCAGACTGACAGGCACTTGGTCCACAACACACCTGACATAACAATAGTTGAAAAGAAAAAAGTATGGTTCATTGACATTGCAATACCTGGTGATGCACGAATTGAAGATAAGCAGCAAGAAAAAATCACAAAGTACCGGGACTTACAAATTGAAGTTGAGCGACTGTGGAAAAAGAAATCGTGTGTTGTCCCGATTGTAATTGGAGCCCTCGGAGCAATACCCAAAGGGCTACCCCGCTATTTAGAAATTCTAAATTTGCCGGACTTGAACATTTTGACTCTACAAAAAACCACCTTACTCGGAACAGCTTACATCCTCCGACGATACCTTAACAATTCCTAGGTCCTTGGTTAGGACTCGAGCTGCTGAGCTATTAACCAGCCTCAAAGGCTGTGAATCTCACTAAAGATTAACCAATAGTAATAATAACAACCTTTATTGTCAGTGCACAACATCTGTACAATGAGATTGGTTGAGCTCCCTCAGTGCACCCCCCCAAAACAAAACAACTCCCTAACCCAATAAATCATATTAACAAAACACCCAGTCCCACTGCACCTGTGTGAACATGTTACACGTTGCACCGGCCCTGCAAGTCCATCGTACTACGTAATTATGAAGTTATTTCTCATTCAGGAGTCTGACAGCCCAAGGATAAAAAACTGTTCTTCAGCCTGTTTGTGCGGCTGGCTATGCTTCTAATATCTCCTTCCCGATGGTAGGAGGGTAAAGAAGGGGTGACCAGGGTGGGAGTCGTCCCTTGACATCTGAGCCTCTGCTTCTGAAATATGGTTAAAAGAGTACCAATTGTTTTTAGAGGAAATGGAATAGAGCAAGGGGTGTCCAACCTTGGCAACTTTTAAGACCCGTGGACTTCAACTCCCAGAATCCCCCTGGCTGGGGAATTCTGGGAGTTGAAGTCCATAGGTCTTAACAGTTACCAAGGTTGGACACCCCTGGAATAGAGAGCTAAGCTATTCCTAGAGAGGCCGTTCCAGGGGTGAAATCCAGCAGGTTATGACAGGTTCGGGAGAACCGATAGCGGAAATCTTGACCAGTTTGGAGAACCGGTAGCGGGAATTTTGAGTAGTTTGGAAAACCGGCAAATATCACTTCTGGCTAGCCCCAGAGTGGGGAGGGAATGGGGATTCTGCAGTATCCTTCCCCTGCCACGCCCTCCAAACCACACCCACCAAGCCTCACCAGGCCCACCAAGCCACGCCCACAGAACCGGTAATAAAACATTTTGGATTTCACCACTGGGCCCTTCCACTTTATACTGCAAGAAAAAGATCACAGCTGTTCTCCATCTTCCCAGAGTAGAAGATCTTAAAGGCACAGGAAGCCAGATCCTGGTTGAATGCTAGGAAGAGCTCATCCTAAAGTCGATTCGCCAAGGAAACCCCGCCACCCCATCCCTTCACTAATGTGTTAATGCAGAAGCTTGGAAAGCTAACAAAGCATATTCGTTTGCACTCCTGTGGAGCAAACTCCAGGTTTGATGACCTCAAGGGCCCCTCCAGTTCTAGGCTTCCTCGAGTCTTCTTTGCTGCTTTGTTATTGGCCTCCTCCCAAGGGTCACGCTATCTTGTACGTTCGATTGGATTATCATTCCTCCCTTCCATTCACTGATGGCCGGGCACTTCAGATACTCTCCATCTACTTCCTTCCTTCCCTCTCTCCCCCCCCGCTTTCCAACCCCCTCTATCCCGTAGCCTTATCCCACGCTTGGATTTCCCCAGCCCTCAATACTTGTCTGAAGCATGTCCTGATTGCATCATCCTGATCTTCACCCTTGTGTGCCTTTCTCTCTCCCTGCCCCCCCCCCCCCCCCGACTCCTTTTCCTGGAATTCCAGCAAATGGGAGTGCAAAAACGGTTTTGCTTTCAGTTGGGAGACAAGCAGAGCTTCTCTACAGCAAGGTACCCTCAGCCACGATTAAACTGAGTTTAATGTTTCTGATTCAGCACGGCTGGGAAGGCACGGTGGGGGGGGGGGGAAGAGGCCATGCTGTGGGACAGGCCTTCCCTATTGATTAGATTTATATTCCACTTTGCAAAACACTTCCAAATTTTGTCCCAACACAGGCTGTGATGTGAGACATGCTTGGCAGGGACTTAAGGGATGGTTTCAGACAATGCACCCATCTGCCTCGTGTTTGGCTGGCTTGTGGCCGAAACAATAATATCCATAACCAACAACTTATGGTTTATTGGGGTGGCGGGATGTGTGTGCAGTGGTGGGTTTCAAATTTTTTTACTACCGGTTCTGTGGGCGTGGCTTGGTGGGCATGGCATGGGAAGGATACGGTAAAATCTCCATTCCCTCCCCAATCCAGGGGAAGGTTACTACAGAATCCCCATTTCCTCCCGATCAGCTGGGACTCGGGAGGCAGAGAATAGGTGGGGGCGAGGCCAGTCAGAATTTTTACTACCGGTTCTCCGAACTACTCAAAATTTCCGCTACCGGTTCTCCAGAACTGGTCAGAACCTGCTGAAACCCACCTCTGTATATATGTCTCTCTCTCTCTCTCTCCAAACTTGGCAACTTGAAGACTTATGGACTTCGGCTCCCAGGATTCCTTAGCCTGCTATGCTAAGGAATTCTGGGATTGGGAAGTCCACAAATCTTCAAGTTGCCAAGTTTTGGAGACAACCCCCCCCCCATTTTTCCTATCAATTTAAACCTGGCCAATTGTGGTGAGTTGTGTTGCGTTATGGATACCGGGGCCAAATTGGTCCCAAAAGCACTGATTTGACTTTCCATAGAACTTCACCAAGCCCTAGCCAATATCTTCTTAACCCAATCCATCCCAGTGTTTCCTGATCGCGTGCAAAGTTCAGGAAAGGTCATCGAAATCTTTTCTTTCTAAAAGCAACAGAGAGAGAGAGAGAGAGAGAGAGAGAGACACGGGGGGAGGAGAGATATTCTTGGCTAAACTCAAGAGGAGGAGGAGGACTTGTATGGGTTTAAGAGCAGTGATGGGATTCAGCCGGTTCGCACCACTTCGGTTGTTAACTTTCTGAGCAGTTTGGCAAACTGGTTGTTGGAAGAAATCATTAGGGCAGAGAACCGGTTGTTAAATTACTTGCATCCCACCACTGGTTTTAGAGATAGGACACCACCAGGAGATTCCCCCAGCAGCAGCCAAACTTGCAAAACACCCACCAAAGAGCCACAGCCTGAGATCTCCACGGCCACGGCCACCAAGTGGCCAGGCGTCAGGTGTCCACGCTACGGAGGCTTTGTATGTATGTATGTATGTATGTATGTATGTATGTATGTATGTATGCATTTATTTATTTATTTATTTATTTATTTATTTATTTATTTATTTATTTATTTATTTATTTATTTATTTAAACTCCGGGCCCCGTCGATCAAACCCTGGAGGGTCCTTTTCATGGAGAGCCATCCCTTTTCTCACCTTCTCAAGCCAAGACCCGAGCTGGGAGATGGATGGGGCGCTGAAGGCGGGGTGGGGGGGTGGGGAAAAAACCGCCCACCACCAGAATGAGTCAGAGGCGTGGTCCCCCAGGCGGGGCAGCCGGCCGAGGGGATTAGCCCCCCCCCCCCCGACCCACCCAAGACGTCGGACTTAAGCACACAGCCCAGGAATGGGGCAGGGACCTAAAAGGCAGCCCAGCCCATCCCTGACGCAGGGAAGAGGCCGCCCCTCCCGATTCAAAAGCTTCCCCCGCCAGGCGTGCAACAACCCCGGCTTTCTCGGCCAAGCCAGCTCCGGTCCTGCGCTGGCTGCTCTTCGCAAGCTCCGGCGCTGCAGGTAAGAACTGGCCGGCGGGAGGGACGGATGGGAGGACGGGTCCGCGGGGCCTGGAGAAGGGGAGGGCGAGCTGTGGGTGGGGGGGGAACCGGAGCGGATTCCAACGCAACGCAACGGAGCCGCTTCGGTAGCGGGGTTGAATTTCTTCCATCGCGGTAACAATGGCTGGGGAGGGGGTGGGTGGGTGGGTGGGGGGTGAGGGATGCTGCGGGGTTCTGCGAGCAAACCCCCCACCCTTGATTTGGCGACGATCCGAGTTTGAGTCCGGTGGGTCTGCTTTCAAGAGCTACCCCCTAGCCTAGCCAGAGGATGACTGTGCCTCTGAGAGTGTGCAGAGTGCTCGCTCTCTCTCTCTCTCTCTCTCTCTCTCTCCCCATCCCATTCTCTCTCTCTCTCTCTCTCTCTCTCTCTCTCTCCCCCTCCCTCTCTTCTCTCTCTCTCTCTCTCTCTCTCTCTCTCTCTCCCTCTCTCCCCATCCCATTCTCTCTCTCTCTCTCTCTCTCTCTCTCTCTCTCTCTCTCTCCCCATCCCATTCTCTCTCTCTCTCTCTCTCTCTCTCTCTCTCTCCCCATCCCATTCTCTCTCTCTCTCTCTCTCTCTCTCTCTCTCTCTCTCTCTCCCCATCCCATTCTCTCTCTCTCTCTCTCTCTCTCTCTCTCTCTCTTCCCCCCCCTTTCAGCGCTCTCCAAGCCGGTTCTGGTCCCGCACATTTTAGGAATGGAGTTGGTTTCCGAAGCGGACGTCTTAGCCAACGGGAACCAACCTCCCCCCACCCAAAAAAATAAAATAAATAAATAAAAACCCTGAATCGCCTCTCTCTTTATATAAAATAGAGATTAAGTCCGAGTTGAAGCTGGAAACACGAAGCGTCAGCATCTAAAAATCCACACACACACACACACACACACACACGCACGCACGCACACACACACACACACACACACACACAGGCACCCGATCTGCATAGAGAGGCTTAAGGATGCTTGGGGGAAGGTTATTCAACCAAGGTTCATTTATAAGTTTGTGTGTGTGTGTGTGTGTGTGTGTGTTGGGTTCATCCTTCAGTAACGGGCAAAGTTCTTGCTTGATGGGCGCGTGGAGCGAAATGACGGGTTTTGTGTGTGCGTGTCTTGGAACTGCGAGTCCGGATTCATTCATGAAATCCGCCAGAAAAGACTAGCGGGGGATCGCTCATGGAAACGATTCTGGCAGATCCAGGCAAGCAGAGAAGGCAGGTGAAGGTTATGCGCGCTGTTTATTGGGGGGTGTTTTTTTTTTTTAAACAATGGACCCCGGAGCCAAAAAGTTATCGCCCCCAAAAGTTATTGCCAGCCCGAGAAGAAGAACCAAAAGTCTTAGTTGGTGTAAAAAAAAAAAGGAGGGGGGGGATAGGTAGAAATGAATGGGTTGTGTCTTTTCTCTGGGGAAAAAAACTGGCATTGTATTTCTTAATTGTTGTGAGCCGCCCTGAATCCTATGGAGATAGGGCGGCATACAAATCAAATCAAATTAAATTAAATTAAATTAAATTGCTGAAACCAGAGGCTCCCAATTCTGGCAAAGATTGACCAAATGAGCAAAGAATCCAACTTGATTTAAACTCGCTTTGCTTGTTCTCATTAGGGTTGTGAATTTTATGTAGTGCCATGTTTTTTGGCTTGGGTCATTTTTTGTACTTTTTGGGAATGAAACTTGAAGATCGGTTCTCCAGTAGGCTGCAAAAAACCATTTTGCAGAGCTCACTGACCTAGATCTCAGCTAGAATAAAATTGATTTTATTTGAATAGCTCTTCATCCGGGCCTTGGGCGAGGTGGGTGGGGGGAAGTCCGTCCCCTTGATCTATCCCATGTCCCATCTTTTATCTTTTATCACTTATTTTCATTGATTTGGCTGGGTGAGTCTTTTTGCTTGTTTTTGCTTTGCTTTTTTAATTTATATGCCGCCCTTCTCCGAAGACTCAGGGCGGCTTACAATGTGTTAAGCAATAGCCTTCATACTTTTGTATATTTATACAAAGTCAGTTTATTGCCCCTATAATCTGGGTCCTCATTTTACCTACCTTTGAAAGGATGGAAGGCTGAATCAACCTTGAGCCTGGTGAGATTTGAACTTGCAGTAATTGCAAGCAGCAGATGTTAATTACGGTGCTTTAGTCCACTGTGCTACAGGCTCTTTTATTCTAGAACAGAATAGACATAACAGAGTTGGAAGGGACCTTGTAGGTCATCTAGTCCAACCCCCTTACCCCAAGCAGGAGATCCAGATTTCTTTGTTTGATTGCTGTGAGCCCCTCGGAGTCATTCAGAGTCGGGTGGCATACAAGCTTATTCGTCAATTATTATTTTACTTATTCATCTTTCTAAACTGAAACGCCTAGATCAGGGGTATCAAACTCGATTTCACTGAGGGCCGCATCAGGGTTGTGTTTGACCTCAACCCTGGAGGGAGGGGGGCGTGGTCGGGATGGGCATGGCCAGCTCGAAGTCACTCATCGAGGCTCTGTTTTCAGCTGCAACGGCCTCCTGCAGCCCTCTGCCAGCGAAAACGGAGCTCGGAGGGGGGGAGCTGTGTGTGGCCCACTTAGACTCTGTTTTTGCAGGCAGAGGGTTGCAGGAGGTCATCACAACCAAAAACGGGACTCAAGAGGACTGTGCAGAGGCAGGTGGAAGCTGTAGTTCAGCCATATCCCAGGAGCTGCAGTTTTGCTATCTTCCTCGCCCCGTTTCTGTTTACATCAATATTCTATTAATTTAGAGTCGTGTTTTGCAACTCTGGCCACTTGAAGATGCTGGCTGGGGAATTCAGGGAATTGAAGTCCACAAGTCTTCAAATGGTCAGGGTTGAGAAATACTGACTTAGAGGATGGCTTATGTTTGGATAGGAGACTGAGTGTGTGATCCCACTCCATCTGCTTGGTCACTAGTGATCGGCACGTAATCTATTGGATCTGGGAGATTTATTTATTTTATTTATTTATTTTGCTTTAATTTATATGCCACCCTTCTCCGGAGACTCAGGGCGGCTTACAATGCGTTAAGCAATAGCCTTCATACTTTTGTATATTTATACAAAGTCAGCTTATTGCCCCCACAAACTGGATCCTCATTTTACCTACCTTTGAAAGGATGGAAGGCTGAGTCAACCTTGAGCCTGGTGGGATTTGAACTTGCAGTAATTGCAAGCAGCAGATGTTAATAACAGTGCATTAGTCCACTGTACTACCAAGGCTCTACCAGTCATGAAAGCTGCATATAACTCTTGGGAGAGATTCTATGTTGTCATAAAGCCTCAAGTTGATTTTGATTCCTGAACTGAAATCTCTGCAGTTTTCTTGCCAATGTTTTGCAGAAGTGGCTTGCCATTGCCTCCTTCCTAGGGCTGAGAGAAAGGGACTGGCCCAAAGTCACCCAGCTAGCTTTGTGCCTAAGGTGGGACTAGAATTCACAATCTCCTAGTTTCTAGCCCTGTGCCTTTAACTAGTACACCCAACTGGGTCTTATTAAAGCTTTAGAGTAGGGGGCTACATCAACAAGAGCATTCAAGGTTGACTCAGCCTTCCATCCTTCCGAGGTGGGTAAAATGAGGACCCAGATTGTTGGGGGCAATAGCCTGACTCTGTTAAACTGCTTAGAGAGGGCTGCAAAGCACTGTGAAGCGGCATATAAATGCTATTGCTATGGCAGGCTATGGCAGGCTAACTCTGCCCACTGCCAGGAGTTCGATCCTGCCTGGCTCAAGGTTGAATCAGCCTTCCATCCTTTTGAGGTGGGTAAAACGAGGACCCAGATTGTTGGGGGCAATAGGCTGACTCTGTGAACTGCTTAGAGAGGGCTGTAAAAGCACTATGAAGCGGTATATAAGTCTAAGTGCTATTGCTATTAGAGAGGTAAAAATGGGACCCATAGCTTGGGCTACAAGCTCACGTAGCTGATAAGTCAACACTGCTGAAAGCATCATAGATGACCTCTTATCTGGCAAGTGGGAGGGCCAGAGACTACGGCTCAGACACGGCTACCTCCCAGGTTTAGTGTTGAGCTCAGTATAGATTGGTTTTCCTTTTGGCTCAGAGTTTGCAATTTTGCCCGATTTAGTAACAGTGCTGCCCAAAGCATGTTGCTATGGAATTCTCCCATAACAACACACAGTCAGTTCTTTCATCTCCTCCCGGTTATGTTTGTTCACATGACTGTCCAAAGGCACGCATTGGTGCACAGTTGGTCACGGGTGCTTCCCACCCACCCGTGATGATGTTGTAAGTGCATGTGGTGGTTTGGCAATAGGAGAAGTTGAGACCTGGGTCAGAAAAAGTGGAACTCTGCCTTCAAGAGCCTCATAAAAAGGCTAGAGACCCAGTTTGGTCGAGTGGTTAAGGCATCGGGATAGAAAGTGGGAGATGGTGAGTTCTAGTCCCATTTTAGGCGTGAAAGCCGGCTTGAGCCAATCGGCCGAGGCTATGAGTTCTAGTTACACAATAGGCATGAAAATTGATTGGATGACTGGACCAATCACAAGGGGTCTGTCAGTTCTAGTTCTGCAATAGGCACGAAAGCTGATTGGATGACTGGGCCAATCACCAGGAGATGGTGAGTTCTAGTTCTGCAATAGGCACGAAAGCTGATTGGATGACTGGGCCAATCATGACTGTGAGTTCTAGTCCCATCTTAACCATGCAACCTGGCTGAGTAACTTTGAGCCAATCACTGAAGACAGTGAGTTCTAGTTCCACAGTAGGCACAAAAGCAGGGGTGAAATCTACTTACCTTCCCTCCTGATTCGGAAGTGCATGCTCTGCACGCACGCACGTCATGTGCGATTTTGGATCCTCTGCACATGCACAGAGGGTCAAAAACAGGTTACTTACTAGTTAAAACCAGGAAGTAACGACATCCGGACAGGTGGGGTGGAGCCTTGCAATGCCGCCGCTACCGATTTGCCCAAACCGGTGCGAACCGGTAACATTTCACCCCTGCATAAAAGCTGATTGGATGACTGGTCCAATCACCAGGCGACTGTGAGTTCTAGTCCCGCCTTAGGCATAAAAGCTGGCCGGATGACCTTGGTCCAGTCATTCCCTCTCAGCCCAACTCACCTCACTGGATGGTTGTTGTGGGGACAAAACAGGAGGAGGAAGGGGTGATGGATATGTCCGTTATCTTGAGTTATTTACAAGAAACAATAAAGGCAGGATACAAATTAAGTAAAACAAGGCGAAACTCTTCCAAGGTCTTGTCCTCATGATGATTCCTACTCTGCTCAGAAGCAAATCCCAAAAGATAAGATGCTCTTAGTCTTTTGATTGCCCCGTGCTGATTGACGTCATTTTGGGATTTCTGCTCCTACCTGGTCGGCCTTCTTCCTACAGGAAAAAGGTCGTAAAATAGAGGCAAAACTCAACAACTGTCTTGCTTAGCAGCGGAAAGGTTGGGCTCAGTTATGGTCGTAAATCAAGGACTACTTGCACTTGTTTCTAAAGTCATTCCCTCTGTTACATGAGACTAACCGAAGGGTTTTTTTTTTCCACCAGAGACAGAAAATCCATCAATCGTCTCTACCCAAAAAACATAAATCATGATAAACTATTTAACCATGTTTGGCTTGCTTTTTTCACCTTTGCTACTCACCTTGGTACTGCCCAGGGGATGTGGTGGCTCAGTGGTTAAGACACTGAGCTGCTCAATCAAAAGGTCGGCAGTTCAGCGGTTCGAATCCCTAGTGCCGCATAACGGGGTGAGCTCCTATTACTTGTCCCAGCTTCTGCCAACCGAGCAGTTCGAAAGCAGGTAAAAAATGCAAGTAGAAAAATAGGGACCACCTTTGGTGGGAAGGTAACAGCGTTCCATGCGCCTTTGGCGTTGAGTCATGCCGGCCACATGACCCCGGAGACGTCTTCGGACAGCACTGGCTCTTCGGCTTTGAAACAGAGATGAGCATCGCCCCCTAGAGTCGGGAACGACTAGCACATATGTGCGAGGGGAACCTTTACCTTTACCTTTAGGTCCTGCCCAAGGTAGCCATTTTATCTTAATGATTAGAGCCAGCCCTGCCCCATAAAAATATGATTGCGCCCTGAATGGTGAACATAGGAAAAAGGGAGATTTTGATACTGTCTTGGGAAGGGTTAAGTAAGAAAGAGCACTCACACGTGTATGTACAAGTGGTAATAACACATACCATCTCAATACTTTGTCGTTTATTTATCCAGTGACCCATGGCTGCCAATGGCTCTGATTCGGAAAAACGCCCCTTTCGTTGGCTCTGTAAATATATTTTTAACAGCTTTGTTCTGAGACCGTGCCAGGAAATTAGCTTAGGGATGCTTGGGGTGGGCGCAGCCTAGAAAGGAGGTACCCACCCAAGCTGGGAGGGGAGCATCTCAACCCTCTTTCCTAATGGAAAATCCCAATGGTCTGCTCTCCTTGTGGGGCAACACAGGAAGAATAGCAATAGCAATAGCACTTAGACTTATATACCTCTTTACAGTGCTTTTACAGCCCTCTCTAAGCGGTTTACAGAGTCAGTCTAATGCCCCCAGCAATCTGGGTCCTCATTTTACCCACCTCGGAAGGATGGAAGGCTGAGTCAACCTTGAGCCTTGGTGAGATTCAATCTGCCAAATTGCAGGCAGCAGAAGTAGCCTGCAGTCCTGCACTCTAACCACTGCGCCACCGTGGCTCAAAAGTAATTGCAAATCGCTTAGTAGTTGGATGGTTGAGCTTCAGCTGACCTAATTCCACCATGTTTTAAATAGCCAGTTCAGTCACGAAGGGTTTTGTACGCGTACGAAGCCAGAGCTGCTTCTAATCATGGTTGAAAGAGGCCGGGGTGGTCTCATGTAAAACAACCATGTTAGAACCATAAATCATGATTTACGGAGGGGAGTTTTACACCTACGAACCACCTAAATGACCCCTTTAGCATGGTTTGTGAAGTCGGCCATATGTGTTTGTGAGACACGATTTATTGGTGGGGTGATCCAATCAATAGTTAAATTCAACGACACGGCAAAATGTCTCGGAATCCCACGGCCAGCAGCTTAATGAGATGTCGGTTGAAGATCGTATTCTGCATCTTTGATGTCCTTGGGAGACAGCACCCTGAGTCTGTTCCTACCCATAAATATTAAATTCGTATCATAAAAACTGAGTTTACTGAGTGGTGCGGTGGCCTAGAGGTGGAGCTCTCGCCTCACAATTAGGAGGCTGTGAGTTTGATCCTAGGTAGAGGCAGATATTTCTCTCTCTGGGCACAAGGTGAATATATCTGCTGAAAAAAACCCTCGGCCTTGGCAACAGGAAGGGCATCCAGCCAGTAAGAGCTCAGCTCCAATCAGTTGTCCAGACTCCACCCTACAAGGGTTCATTAAAAGATGATAAAAACTGAGATTACTCACCTCCCTGGTTTTTGTTTTTGTTTTCCCCTAGGGATGGATGTTTCCAAAGCCACCAAATTTTTTGTCTCGACGGGACGTCGGATCATCACCATTGGCTTTGCCTTGCTCATATTATCAGTGCTGGCATGGGCCTACATTAAGGGCATCCAGCTGGTCTCTGACCAATACCACATCATGGCCTTTGGCCTCTACGGAGCCTTCCTCACCTTCCACCTCATCATCCAAAGCTTCTTTGCTTTCCTGGAGCACAAGAGGATGCGGAGGGACTCGCTGGCGTGCAGCTACACCAAGTCGGTGGCCCTCACCATCTCTGCTTATCAGGAGGACCCAGCCTACCTCCGCGAGTGCCTTCAATCAGTCAAGGCAACCCTGTATCCCCCAGAGAAACTCCGGATCATCATGGTGGTGGATGGGAACAGCAATGAGGACCGATACATGATGGATATGTTCCGAGAAGTCTTCGCTGGAGAAGACGTGGGCACTTTTGTTTGGGAGAACAACTACCACCATCAACCTCAATTGGATATGGAGAAAGAGGGCAGTGGTTACCAAACTGGGGATGAGCCTTCTGCCTACACCGAGATTGATATGGAAGATCCCGGACAACTGGTGGTGGAAGAACTGATCCGCACCAAGAGATGTGTCTGCATCATGCAAAAATGGGGTGGGAAGCGAGAAGTCATGTACACGGCTTTCAAGGCCCTTGGGAATTCAGTCGACTACGTTCAGGTACCCAACTTTTTATTATTATTATTCTTTTATGGGGGGGTGACATGATAGCAGGGTTCCAATATTTCAGGGGCTGCCACAAAGAAGAGGGAGTCAAACTATTCTCCAAAGCACCTGAAGGCAGGACAAGAAGCAATGGGTGGAAACTAATCAAGGAGAGAAGCAAACTAGAACTAAGGAGAAATTTCCTGACAGTTAGAACAATTAATCCGTGAAACAACTTTCCTCCAGAAGTTGTAAATGCTCCAACACTGGAAGTTTTTTAAGAAGATGTTGGATAACCATTTGTCTGAAGTGGTGTAGGGTTTCCTGCCTAAGCAGGAGGTTGGACTAGAAGACCTCCAAGGTTCCTTCCAACTCTGTTATTCTATTCTATTCTATTCTATTCTATTCTATTCTATTCTATTCTATTTATCTCACCTTCCATGTGAAGAGCTTGGGGTATAATACAGTCTATTCCCCTTCAATTGTATCCTTTCTGGAAGGCTGACAGATAGTGACTCATCCCAAAACATACATTGGCTTTCAGAGATAAGTAGAGATTCGAACTCCAGATCAACATCTTATCCCAACATTCTTTAATTAGTCTCTTCCAGATGTCCTGGCAAATTCACCCTGGCATCTAATCATGTCTGGGCATGTTGGGATTTATAGTTTGGCACATGTGAAAGGTGCATGGTTGAGGAAATTATTCTTCATCCAAGCACCTAACTGTTTATTGGTCTTGAAAGTTGCGTATCTTCCATCTGCTGTTGTTAGGCTATGATTTTTTTTTATCATTTCATTAATTACAATTAGGTCTAGGATTTCAGATTCTAGCGTGGTAATTATATAAGTTCTGGCAGCCCACCAATTTGCCACCGTGCCCAACCATTACAGTTGGCAGCTAAAATGCTCCCAATAAACTTTTAGGTGGTGGAACCTCACTGACCTTGACTGATCTCCCCAAAAAAGCTTCATGAATTACTTTACACAAGGCGTCTTCCTTTTTAATCTCTTCAGCCCCTTTATGGTTAGCCCAGTAATCTTGTTTTTCTAGAAAACCAATCATGCATTTCCTCATTTGCGTATGCAAGGTTAGATAGCTTTCATTCCCATTCTACAGATGGGGCAAGTGAGGAAGTAAACTGTTATCTTTTTAAGTCAATCAGTGACTGTTATACATGAGATAGGTTGCACTTGGTTGTTTACTAGAATGGGGTCTCCAACCTTGGCCACTTTAAGACTTGTGGATTTCAACTCCCAGAGTTCCTCAGCCAGCAAAGCTGCATCCCAGCGAATGCAAAGCTGGCTGAGGAATTCTGGGAGTTAAAGTCCACAAGTCTTAAAAGTTGCCAAGGTTGGAGATCCCCTGGACTAGACAATGCACTTCTATGGCATCGTAATTGCTGCAAATGAAACAAGCTGTGCAGTGGTGGGATTCAAGCAATTTAACAACCGGTTCTCTGCCCTAATGATTTCTTCCAACAACCAGTTTGCCAAACTGCTCAGAAAGTTAACAACCGGTTCTCCCAAAGTGGTGCGAACTGGCTGAATCCCACCACTGAAGCTGTGACAATAAATTTGGGAGACAGGAGGAAGAGTCACTACTCAGACCAGGGGTCCCCAAACTTGGCAACTGTCAGGGTTCCAAGTAACACCCCCAACGAAAGAAGACTCCGAGGCTAGAGATTCCTCAAATCCTTAAATTAAGACTTGTGGACTTCAACTCCCAGAATTTCCCAGCCAACATGGCTGGCTGAGGAATTCTGGGAATTGAAGTCCAGAAGTCTTTAAAGCTGCCATGTTTGGAGACCCCCCTGGCCTAGACAATGGTCTGATAAAAGACATCGGAGTCCAAAGCAGAAATGGGGTTAGAGAAAAGATCTCAGAAGAGGTCTAATTCTGTGGAAAGTAAAGACAAGGGGAAAGGGAAGGTCCTTTTAGACTTGCAAGATTCTATACCCCACTTTACAATAAAAATGGTATTAATACTCATGGACTTCCTGTGGAAACCGCTCTTTATTTTCCAGAGAACTACTACTGTCTAAACCAGAGGTCTTCAAACTTGGCAGCTTTAAGACTTGTGGACTTCAACTTCCAGAATTCTCCAACCAGCATAGCTGGCTGGAGAATTCTGGGAGTTGAAGTTCACAAGTCTTAAAGCTGCCAAGTTTGAGGACTCCTGGTCTAAACTGTAGTTCTTCCTCCTGACTCCCAAGATTCTTCTTGAGTATCTATGTATTCTTTTGATCTTGTGCCCTTTGGGCTGGCTTGTACATGTATGTACGCCACACTTTATGGCAACCAAGGGATGTTCCCAAATCAGTTGATGCTGCCTCTTCTCCTGCGAGGACCGAAGACTGGAAACGAAGAGGTCAAACTGTAGAATTCTTCCGGACCCAGGCTTTAGGTTTTTCAGCAATCCAGATCTTCTTGACAAGTTGATGGGGGCGTCTTTAGACTAAACTCTTGCCTTCTCCCAGGTATGTGACTCTGACACCAAGTTGGAACCGGAAGCAACGGTAGAACTGGTGAAGGTGCTGGAGTCCAACGAACGCTATGGGGCCGTTGGGGGAGATGTCAGGATCCTCAACCTTTCCGACTCCTACATCAGCTTCATGAGCAGTCTGCGCTACTGGATGGCTTTCAACATTGAGCGGGCCTGCCAGTCCTATTTCAACTGTGTCTCCTGTATCAGTGGTCCCTTAGGTAAGGTTTCCACCTGTAAATAATGTCTTAAGTCCTTTCTCTGAAGAAGTCATGAAGCGATATTGGAAAGATGAATGCATTTCCCAGATCCACTGCATTTCTTTAAAAAAAATCTTACCCCTTCTTTTTTATTGGTTGCATCAGGTCTGTATCGGAATGACCTCCTACAGCAGTTTCTGGAATCCTGGTACAATCAGAAGTTCCTTGGCACACACTGCACCTTTGGAGATGATAGACACCTCACCAACAGGATGCTGAGCATTGGCTATGCCACCAAGTAAGGAAATCTGGGTTATCTGATGGAATATAGGAACCATATGGAATGAAATGTGAGATGTCTGTTGACATAGTTCTTTTAGGGCAGGAGTCAGCAACCTGCAGCTCTGGAGCCACATGTGGCTCTTTCACCCCTCTGCTGTGGCTCCCGGTCACTCAAAATACGCATCACAACCACCAATGTGCGACACCCACTGGCACGCAGTTTATTGAGCTTTTCAACTCCTGGTAGAGGGTTGCCAACCATGGATAAATCCAAGAAAAGAAAAGTTTCAGAAGAAATAGAACGTTTAATTCAACTACATATGCTAGTTTTGTGGTTGCTCAGGAAATAGTCAGCACAGGAAGGGTTTTGTGGCTCCCGGTGTTTTCTTTTCTGTGGGAAATGGGTCCAAATGGCTCTTTGAGTGTTTAAGGTTGCAGACCCCTGTTTTAGGGTGCTAATTTTTTTTTTTTTTTTTGCAAGGAGGACTTTCCATTTCAAACACTTGGCTTCATTTATGAAGTCCTCCAGATATGGCTTCCTGACTTACAGCAGAGTTTTTTCAACCTGGGCAGGTTTAAGAGAGGTGGACTTCAACCCCCAGAATTCCTCACCCAGCATGGCCTTCTTAAACTTTCCCAGGTTGAAAAATACTGATTTACAGGGTTGTTGTTAAATACAGAGACAGGTCTTTGGGAGCAATTAAAGAACACGAAGAAATCTTGTGGTTTTGTTGAAGCTTTGTCTTTTTAAAGGGACGTGGTGGCTCACTGGCTAAGACGCTGAGCTTGTCGATTGAAAGGTCGGCAGTTCAGCGGTTTGAATCCCTAGTGCCGAGTAATGGGGTGAGCTCCCGTTCCTTGTCCCAGCTTCTGCCAACCTAGCAGTTTGAAAGCGTGTAAAAAAAAATGCAAGTAGAAAAATAGGGACCCCCTTTGGTTGGATGGTAAAAGCGTTCCGTGTGCCTTTGATGTTTAGTCATGCCGGCTACATGACCACGGAGACGTCTTCGGACAGCGCTGGCTCTTCATCTTTGAAACGGAGATGAGCACCGCCCCCTAGAGTCAGGAACGACTAGCACATATATGCGAGGGGAACCTTTACCTTTACTTTTACTGTCTTTAACTGACACTGGTAACAGCCCTTATAGGTATTGCAATATCAAGCTACAAGTTAAATTCAGGGTCTTCCTATTTTTCCAGTGTTTGGTACTGAGTGACTTAATATATCTTTGCCCAAACATTATTCCTATTAAAGTATTATGTTAGGAAATTAAATTGGTTCAAGCTTGAATTGCTTCTACTTAACACCCACACAATACTTTTGGGTATCCTCAGTTTGTTCATGAATTGCTATGTTCATACAATATGATCAATTTCGGATAATGAACTTAATTTCTGCTTTTATATAAGATGCTTTGTCCAAATCGAGAAAATCTATTATGAACGTAATATGAAAAGGGAGTTACGTAGTTTGCAGAGACAAAGGGTGAATTTCCATAACATTTTCCAAACCCTTCCCACCTAGTTTAGTGTGTTGCATACATATTCAGACAGAAAATAATGTTTTCATGGCCTTTCTCTCATTTTCATACAACCATAACCTCATGAGGAAGAACAAACTTGGCAACTTGAAGACTTGTGGACTTCAATTCCCAGAATTCCGCAGTCCGGATGACTGGGCGGGGGAATTCTGGGAATTGAAGTCCACAAGTCTTAAAAAGTTGCCAGTTTGGAGATCCCTGAGGTCACATCGTCCTTCCCACTTGGCAGATTGGGAACTGCAGGAATGAGATGGATTTCTTGGGCCAAATTTCACCGTGTTGTCCTCCAGTTCCCACGGCAGGTATTTTAGACCAAGGTTTTCATTAGAAAGATAGGGCTGGAAGAGATTTTGAAAGTCTTCCGGTCCAACCTCCCCTGCCAAAGACAGGAGACCCTACACCAGGGGTCAGTAACCTGCGGCTCTGGAGCCGCATGTGGCTCTTCCATTCCTCTGCTGCGGCTCCCTGTCGCCAGTTGGCTCCACAATTGATAGGGCTTTCGGTTAGGACAGGTAGAGGAAAAAGGATGCCGTTCTAGGAGGAGACTCTATGGTGGGGGAAGTGGACTTCCGGTCGGCTCCAGAACTGAACGGGGGGCTTCCGGTTAGGACCTTTGTGGTTCTTTGAGTGTTTAAGGTTGCCGACCCCTGTCCTACAATCATCCCAGACAAATGGATGTCCCATCTTTTTTTGAAAACCTCCAGGAGTGGAGCATCCCCAACTTTGGGAGACAAGCTGTTCCACTAACTAACTGTTCTCACTGTCCGGAAATTTCTCCCTATTTCCAGATTAGATCTCTCTTGAATGAGCTTCCACCCATTATTTCTTGTCCTGTCCTTAGGTGCTTTGGAGAACAAGTCAACCCTTCTTCTCTGTGACTGCCCCTCAAGTACTGGAAGACAGCCTCTCATGTCACCCCAATCCTTCTCTTCATTAGGCTAAAGATATTTTGTTCCCTACGTAGCTACAGTAGTGGCCAAAATTGTGGAAACCTTTTGGGGAAAAGTATATTTTCTAAAACTAGCTAATAACACCACTTTTTTTTTTTTTGGAGTAGTACCATAAAATTATATATCAATGGAAAGATCATTTAATCAAGAAGGTAATGCAATAACTTTTATGAAGGATTTGCTGTTAGAATAGCAGTTACAGTATAAAGAAGAAAAGTGAAACGTAGAAAAAACAAGATATGCAAAAATTATCACCGTGTCAGTTAATACTTAGTTGGGAAACCTTTAGCATGAATTACGGCCTTACAACGTCTTCCCATGGAGTGAACCAAGTCTTTGAGTTCTGCAGCTGTTCTAATGTGAAACCAAGATTGAATGATGGCTTCTATTAACTGGGTTTTATTGCTGGGTCGCTTCTGATTAACAAGTTTCTTTAGTCGGCTCCATAGATTTTCAATTGGGTGAAGGTCTAGACTATTCCCAGGCCATTCCAGCAGTGGAATAGGATGATGTTGAAACTCCAAAAAAAGGTGGTATTATTAGCCATCAAACCTCAAAAATACACTTTTCCCAAAAGGTTTCCACAATTTTGGCCATTACTGTAGTGTAGCCATGATCAGGAAAGGACCAGTGCAGGAAGTACTCAAGACCATAATGGAGTCAAATCAAGTTGTGTTTTGTTCCTCCCGTGTTAATCTTTGCCTCCTTTCCTTGTGCCAGATACACAGCTCGTTCCCGCTGCTACTCGGAGACCCCGTCCTTATTCCTACGTTGGCTGGCTCAGCAAACCCGTTGGACCAAGTCATACTTCCGGGAATGGCTCTACAACGCCCTCTGGTGGCACCGGCATCACCTCTGGATGACTTACGAGTCGGTAGTCTCCGGCATCTTCCCTTTCTTCGTCACGGCCACGGTCCTGCGGCTCTTCTATGGGGGGAACCTGTGGGACGTGCTGTGGGTCTTGCTTTGCGTCCAGCTGGTGGCCTGTGTGAAGGCCCTTTACGCTTGTTGGCTGAGAAGCAACCCGGTCATGCTCTTCATGTCCCTCTACGCCGTCCTCTACATGGGAGGTCTACTTCCGGCCAAGTATTTCGCCATCTTGACTATGAACAAGAGCAGCTGGGGGACCTCTGGAAGGAAGAAAATGGTCGGCAACTACATGCCTCTGCTACCTGTTTCCATCTGGGGTCTTCTTCTGTTGGGAGGCCTGGTCTACACTATCTACCAAGAAGCCTTGGCTGACTGGACGACAGAAGCCAAACAAGCAGAGATCTTGTATTTGCTGGCCGGTTTGGCCATCTACTTGGGCTATTGGACTTTCATGGTCATGCTTTACTGGGTATGGATTCGGAAGTGTTGCCGGAAACGAATGGACCTCTACAGCCTGGAGGTATGAGCAGGAAAGAGGGCGAAGATCTCCAGATTCCTAGATTCCCATCTAAGCTGTAGCGGTACGGAGCAGCTTAACCGAAGGATCTTCCAGGGTCAGAACTAAAAGAGTTTCTAATTCAAAATGGTGGGGGGGGGAAGCCGAATCTTCCCCTCTCTTGAGTCTTTTAAACTCAAGGTGTCTCTTGTTCAGGCTGAAGTTTTAGACTCCTTGGTTCTCTTCGCGAATCCAGGGTGGAGCCAGATGATGGTACAGGAGTTGTGAGGCGGAGGGGAAGGTCTCTGTGTTTGTGAGTGTGCTGCTCAGGGAGGGTATTTATTTTATCCAGCAAAACGTGAGAGGGGGTACCTTGCTTGTCCTCTCGGTTCTCCTGTCCTGATGAATGTTTTCCGACCTGAAATTTATTTATTACTGCTAAGTCTTCTCCATTCCAGGGGTACTTCTAGTACCCAGGTACTTTTTTGACTCGCGACCACCTCTCGGATAGAGCCACCGGGTGATGCCACCACACGAGGGGGTGGACTGCACAGGGGACTTATCGAATTGCACTGAAATGCTGGTGCCACAGCCACTGAAGACCAAGATGGGAATGTTGCGTCCATCGCTCACCCGTTGAAGTTCTCCTGAGGTTCTCCTCAGGAGAAAAGGCCATGCTGAGGAAAAAACGGGGGAGCAAAACCCTCGCTTTACCGGAAGCTAAGATCAGACTTTTTTTTGGGGATGTAGTTATGATAATTTTTTTAAAAAAGTATTTTTTGGTTTTTTTTTTTTTTTTTTTGCCAAAAGGAAAAAATAATAATAATTCGTCTTAGGGTTTGTGAAGACTTGATTACAAAAGAAGCACCAACATTTACAATTGTGTGACAGAAGCTGGAAAATTCTGCCTTCCTTGATTCTTTTTTTTTTTCCTCCCGGAAAGACAACCGATGGGTGGGTCAAATTCGCACCCGCTACCTCTATTTTTTTTTTATTTGGGGGGGGGGCACAATATTCTCTTGTTTGGAATTTGAGGGACATCTTTCTTGCAGGGAAAAGAAGGACCTGAAGTTATTTATTTGCCATATTTTAATAATGAAAAGGAGGGCTATTTAAATTTGTTTTTGTTTTTTTAAACGTTGAATGATGATGTAAAAAAAAAAAGTTTTATAAGCAATGTAAAAAATAAAACACTATTTATTTTATAAAATCCCTTTCGTGGTGTTTTATCCTAATATTTTTTCCCCCCTCAGGACGGGCAAATGTTATAAACCAGCAGCTGGTCGAATGCATCTGTTATACAATAAAATGCAGAATGTACATTAAGTACATACAAGTAATATGCCTTGGCTTACAACAGATCGTTTAGTGACTGTTCAAAGTTACAATGGCACTGAAAAAAGTGACTTACGACCGTTTTTCATACTTACGACCACTGCAGTGTTCCCATGGTTACGTGATCAAAATTCAGACGCTTTTTTTTTTAAATTTGATTTATATGCCGCCCTTCTCCGGAGACTCAGGGCGGCTTACAATGCGTTAAGCAATAGCCTTCATACTTTTGTATATTTATACAAAGTCAGCTTATTGCCCCCACAATCCGGGTCCTCATTTTACCTACCTTAGAAAGGATGGAAGGCTGAGTCAACCCTGAGCCTGGCGAGATTCGAACCTGCAGTAATTGCAGGCAGCTGGTCTTAATAACAGGGTGCCTTAGACCACTGTACTACCAAGGCTTGACAACTGATTCATAGTTATGACGGTTGCAGTGTCCCGGGGGTCATATGATCCCCTTTTGCGACCTTCTGACAAGCAAAATCAATGGGGAAGCTGGGTTCCCTTAACAACCATGTTACGGATGTAAGTATTGTGATTCACTTAACAACGGTGGAGAGAAAGGCCGTAAAATGGGTCAAAATTCACTTAACCAACTGTCTCGCTTAGCTACAAAAATGTTGGGCGCAACTAATGGCCGTACGCCAAAGACTATCTACACTTCCTATTGCTCACAGCAAAAAAAAAAAACCAGCAACAAAACCATCCTAACACCATTCAAATATGCATCATAATTCCCACTACGATGGTTTAAAATCTCTTTTAGAATATAGAATAACAGAGTCGGCAGGGACCTTGGAGGTCTTCTAGTCCAACCCCCTGCTTAGGCAGGAAACCCTACACCACTTCAGAAAAATGGTTACCCAACATCTTCTTTAAAAACTTCCAGTGTTGGAGCATTCACAACTTCTGGAGACAGTTGTCTAACTGTTAAACCGCAGTCATTCGCTTAACGACTCACCAGAAAGGTCGTAAAATGGGGCAAAACACACTTAACAAATGTCTCGCTCAGCAGCAAAAATGTTAGGCTCGGTTGCGGCTGTCAGCTGAGGACTACCTGTACGCAGGTCAGGTTGAAAAAAGGTAAAAAATAAAACAAATTAAAAACGGGTGGAGCTCCAATTCCATTGCTGGCCCAGAAAGATCATTAGGACACTGTCTTGTGGAAAAGGCTACATTCAGTGAGTCCTTCTCCGAGATTTATCTACTAGATCAGTGTTTCTCAACCTTGGCTACTTTTAAGATGTATGAATTTACAGAATAACAGAGTTGGAAGGGACCTTGGAGGTCTTCTAGTCCAATCCCCTGCTTAGGCAGGAAACCCTGCACCACTTCAGACAAATGGTTATCCAACCTCTTCTTTAAAACTTCCAGTGTTGGAGCATTCACAGCTTCTGGAGGCAAGTTGTTCCACTGATTCATTGTTCTTGATTAATTGCTTGGCTGGGGAATTCTGGGAGTTGAAGTCCACACATCTTAACGTGGCCAAGATTGAGAGACACTGTACTAAATGATGAAGATACCACGGTTGGTGGTAATGGAAGCTGCCAAGTTCTCTAAGGAAACTAACCAAGCTTTGCTATCCATCTCCATCATCTCCATCGGTCTGTCTAGCCAGACATCTATTACATAAACTACAATTGACCAGACCCAGAAAGTACCAAAGCCAAACCAGTAGAGGTCAAATCAAAATTTTTGTTGTTGTTAGTTGCAAAGTTGTGTCCGACCCATCGTGACCCCATGGACAACGTTCCTCCAGACCTTCCTGTCCTCTGCCATCCCCCAGAGTCCATTTAAGCTCATGCCTACTGCTTCAGTGACTCCATTCAGCCATCTCCTTCTCTGCCGTCCGCTTCTTCTTTTGCCCTCAGTCTTTCCCAGCATTAGGCTCTTCTCCGGTGAGTCCTTCCTTCTCATTAGGTGGCCAAAGTATTTGAGTTCCATCTTCAGGATCTGGCCTTCTAAAGAGCAGTCAAGGTTGATCTCCTCTAGGAGTGACCAGTTTGATCGCCTTGCAGTCCAAGAGGCTCGCAGGAGTCTTCTCCAGCACCAGAGTTCAAAGGCCTCAATTCTTTGGCGCTCGGCCTTTCTTATGGTCCAACTTTCACAGCCATACATTGTAACTGGGAACACCATAACCTGAACTATACGCACTTTTGTTGGCAAAGTGATGTCTCTGGTTTTTAGTAGATTTGCCATAGCTTTCCTCTCCAGGAGCAAACGTCTTTTAATTTCTCACAAATTACCCTAATTCCCTCAAGGCTGGGAGAACAATCAGGACTTCAATCGTTGTAAGGATGGGAGCCACCTAATGATCTTGCAGAAGATTATTTCGGATGGCAGTAGACACACTTCCTGGGTCTCACAAGATGGCATTATTTTAATTGATTAGATCTGGAACACATGCCCACTCAGTGAATCAGATGGGTAAAGAGAACTGGATAGTGGTCATTGGCAGCTCATACAGGTACTAGCAGATGCCATGGTCTCTGGCAACCAAAGCAGCTTTAGCATGACCAAAAAGGCCAACTGGAATTGGTTCAGAAGGTCTCATTTGGACGTATCTAAGGTTGCCATTCTACCACCACATGGGACAGATGAAGAGAAGGGACAGCTAAAAAGAAGGACGAGGGGTGACATGATAGCAGTCTTCCAATAACAAAGGGGCTTCCACAAAGGAAGTTTTCTTCTCTTTCTTAAGAGGTGTCCAGCTCTATAATTATATATTGGGAAGCACACCACATGCTCATAGAGCAATGCTAAACAGTTTTAATGCAACAAGGATGCTTATTATACCATCCAGGGTCATCTTATAGGGGAGATGGGAAATAGAAATGGCAAGTAGAGTAGAGTAGAGTAGAGTAGAGTAGAGTAGAGTAGAGTAGAGTAGAGTAGAGTAGAGTAGAGTAGAGTAGAGTA